ATACATGTGAACTAGTGCGTACATTCCGTCAAAACCATAGTCTTCAATGAGCTGGACAGCGCTGGTAACGAACGTGGCACTGGCAGAGGCGCTTGTCACGAAGTCGAAGTGTCCTTTGAAAAGCGTCAATTGCCGCTCGGAGTGAAAGTCAAAGAATGGTTACTCACCAGACTGGGAGTAGGTCCATCCACCAATGGAGAGCAGGACCTTGAGGTTCCTTTGCTTGAGCTTCAGGAGGTAAAGTTGCTTTAGGCAGCCATAAAGGTTGTTTCCAGTCTCGCTCCACGAGTCAGACGGGAAATGTTTCTGCAAATTGAAAATTAGAAGCTGTAGATAGGACAGAGAATTAAGATTCACCTGTTCATCGGCGTAAGGATCGGTGAGGCTGATAACTCCTGTCGATGGATTTACATCCGCGAAGGCATACAAGATATCTATGATTGATGGTCAGAGTAACACGAGGATGGAACGTTGAATGAACGAACGAGTCAAGGTAGAAGAGACAATATCGGTCGGCTCTGGAATGGTGAAATAAGAACCTGTTTCTTTTGGAGCGGAGCACTCAGGTATTAGGACTCACGAAAATTGGCGCCGTAAATCCCCCAATTCGTGAAGTAAGCAAAGGATGTTTTCCCAGAGGCGCGTTTTGTGATGGTTTTCGTCTTGGGGCTCGTCTCAGTCTGGACAGTCTTGGCTGGAGTCTTGTAGGTCGATGGGCGACGCATAATCTGCGTGGCATCGACAGTAACAGCCGCCAGAAAAGCCACGAGCCCGAGAAGCAGGAATCGCTTGAAAAAAGATTGAGAATAGGCCATGATCTTCTGAACAACCGATGAAGACTGGCAAGGGTTGAGAAGGCATAATCTCGAAGCATGTATGCGTATTTATACTTTGGGGAAAGGCAAGAGTATGTCATGGTTGGATATTTTTCATCCGTTGGCACGAGGCAACATGTTCAAGTCGGATTGAAAGTGGGACAAATGGGGATCGTCAAATCCGAAGAGAATTATCAGAAATCTTAGTAGAGTGGAAAAAAGGTCAAGCAAGAAATGAATACACCACATGCACACCCCCATTCGAAGGCATTATTCAGTCAACAAACCATCGCAGAGGTCTCTGAACAGCCCATAACATAGTCAACGGCGACGAGATCCAAGAGTACATCGCCAAATCCATTGAAGCCAGCTCAGGAACCGTGATCACAGTGCAGCGATCATAATTCATAGGCGCGAATGGTCAGCTGGAAGCTGCTGAACAACGTCAAAGAATGTGATTTTGGTCATGAGCAGACAGAGGACAGGGAGCGCGTGCTGACCGGTCCTGCGGGACAATACAGTATCAATACATCACTCAGGTGGACTGGGGGCACAAAACGATATGGTTACAACGCTCGAGCACGCGGAGCCGTCAAACTCCGGCACCCGACACAAGTAGAACAAGGAAAACAAGTACACTTCCATTGCATGAGAGGTTCAAGGAACGGAGACAAAAAATGATGGACATCAGACCTCCACGCTCCTCACGTGGCACTCAACCTTTTCCCAAACCTTTTTTGAAGTTGCCGAATTGGATTCTCTCTGAATTTTTCCGTTTCAATTGAAAGCTTGGAAGGAAGTCTTCTGGGTATTTCTATGCCAACTTGGCTCTGATACTTCTGTTTTCCGTGTCAATAGGGTCCTTAATGGAGTCTGGGACTGGTGAGCTAATTATGAAGAGCACCGTACAGACTACTCGGAATAATAGAGCCCCAACATAACACCAGGCCAAGACAACTGACTTCCTTATCGGCCCTATCTATACCAATATGTACCGTGACTTTTCCGACCCCAAATGGCATGAAAATGCACGAGATTCGAGTCCTGTTGTGTTCGCCAATGACAGATGTTAACTTCTCTCTGTGAACTCTAAAGTGACCTCATGATTCTCAGATAGGTCAGGCTTGGCAAAGTTCAGTCCGGGTCCTCTTCCCAAGTTCAATGAACTTGTGGTGGACGAAAGAAGCAAGTCCTGGCATTTTTCGTTATCATCCAAACCCTCTAATGATGGAAAGCTTGTGAGGATGATTTGTCGCGGATCTGGTCAATGTATCTCGGAGCAGTTTGACTGAGAAGGATCCATCTGTACTTGCAAGGGTTACATATGGCCCATATCAAAGAAGAATTCGTAATCCAACGCCTGCGAGCCCCTATTAAACCTACTTTTCCTCAACCGTGATGATGCTTGATTACATCGGCTAATCCTCGATAACGCGTGTCCAATCCTTCAAGCTTCGATTCTGAAACGCGATAGGGTCTTGTATATCACAGTCAATCTTTGTAGCATCCGGTTCCTGTCGGACATTCTGGTTGATGCATCTGCACACGATGAGCCGCTTTCTCGCTCCAGTCAGAAGTAGTAAAGCTCCTCTGCACTCTTCGCTGGCATTTCACAGCAGTCCATAACGGTGGCGTTTGGGCTACTTTTGGTCCTCTTCTGTTGCTCTTCAGCGATTCAAGCTTTCGACGTCATGACAGGTGACAGTGGATTAAATCTTGCCATCAGACCAACATCAGACAGTGAAAGAATTTCTAACATAAGATGTGCAATGAATATACAGTTGTCAAAGCTAGATCGTTGTAGCAAGATTATTAGTAAGAGGGACAGAGGCTCACAAGAACCCAAAAAGATGATCTCAATGAAATTGGGCCAAACGGCAATTGAGAAACGGATAAGTAAGAGAGCTATGAGACGTCCTTCCAATTTATGTGATGTGAATTGAAACAGTTTATACTTAGTGATTAGTTATGCTTGACGATGAGAGGCAGACGAGAAATGGAACATAAGGAATGCAGCAAAACGACGAAAACGACGATGTGGGTAAAAAAGAGGAGGGAGGAATATATGTGATGTCCATAAAGGGAGTGTAGTGTAGACCAAAGGAGGGTCAGTAGAATGTCTATACTGGATGACCGCAAAAAGGTGCGTTTCAGCAAGAAGTTAGATAAACCTCCATATAACCTCTGCGGAAGAGCACATTTAGGTGATCAGAAACTGTTCTCTCAGTAAGAACCACCACGGTAAAACATGGATACAGCTGACGCGCTGTTATCAATCACACGTGGCCTCTCAGCGACGGCTGCTTACCTTGGTATTTTCTTGGTCCCACCCTTTGGCTGTCTAAATGTTCTGACCAGGTATATTCCTCCCTCTCCCGCATTACACATCCACGTAGATCAATATTGGTTCGCCTACCCCTTCAATTTCAGGTATAACGCACTTCAAATCAAAGGCCTTGGCTAAGACGATCTTGAAAATCTTTTGGACATTTATTGACGCCGATGTAGAACAAAATATCAGTGACGCGTGCATGGCGCGAGCAAATCGCTTGGCCTAGTGTGATTCATGTATCATGTATGGACGGTGAGGGAGCTTAGAGAAAAAACCCACTTGTTTCGTGATTTCTTCCTGTTCATCTCGTGGAAATGTCGCGAAAGTGTCGAACTTGGTGCCGATAAGGAATGGGATGGCCGTCTGGCGGATTAAAGATATCAAGACGCGCTCATGACGTGGAGTACGGTATAAAATTTGTTGGTGAATACGCACTTTATTGAATCCTCTTGCCTGCCGATACCACTCCTTGACCGAGTTCAGGGTCGACTTCCGTGATAAGTCGAACATGAACAGGATGGCAACGGCGTCATTACAGACGAGCGGCAACATATTCACGAACTCCCGTTGACCACCAAGATCCCATATCGAGAAGGTGATGGTTGTTCTCCGTACGGTAATAGTCTTCTCCATGAAGTTGACGCCTATATGGCCCAGTCAGAAGAACAAAGGTGTTCGGAAGGAAGGATAGTGAATCACCCAGCGTCTGGATGTAATCTTCATCAAAACTACCCTCCACGTATTTGACCATCAGGCTCGTCTTGCCTATTTGTGAATCGCCCACCATTCCAACCTTAATTACGACACTAGGCCGATTTACGAGTCAGAAAGGTAAAATTTGCGTGTCAAATGATAAACATAGGCCTACTTGTTCTTGTCGTCGCTAATTTCTTGGGAAGAATGAGAATTCTGCCCGTTGGGACCGGCACTGGCGGGTGCTGTTGTCGAGGTTGACGATGATGCGGCGTTCGACATAATGGATGAAGCAGATCACGGTCCTTTGAGATGAGATATTGAACGGAGGAATGGATGCGAGGCTTCACTGATATGCCGAGCAAGGGTATACGAGATACGATGGTATTGAAACGAATGGAAGATGAGGTAGAAAAGAGGATGAGGAAAAAGGAAGACGCGCTGTGAAGACGCTGGGGGTCAATAGAGACCAAATCTCGAGGAAAGCTGGCTCCAGATGAGAGCTGAAGCGCTGAAGCGTTTGCTGTTCGAGAGTTGGCCTTTGTCGTCGTTGTCGTGACACAACCAGGCTCGAACGGGTGTCTCTGTTAACCGATCACAACCAACCACTGCCAAACAATGTCTCCAACCACCATCTTCGCTCGTGAAAATAACTTTGACTCCGAGTATAAATCTCTTATTCAAAGTTCGTCGGCCAGCTGCTCTACTGGTCGAAAAGATCACGCGACAAAACTTTGTTGTAAAGATTGGCCATGATTTGTTCCGAGCAAGGTCACCTGCAACCTTAGCGCTTTCGCTGGCTCGAGCTCACTGACATTGGGTCATCTGTGGCGGAGGCGTCTGCCGTTCAACATTTGAACAGACGGCGAGCACGTTCATTCCTCCCTCGCTGATACGATCCTCGTATCAGAACATCGTACTACACAGTGATATTTTTAGCTAATGGGGAAGTGTCGCGTTCCGTCAAAGGTCAAATGGCGACGTAATGCCAGGCACAGATTGCAAGTAACACTATCCAAATACGACCTGCTCAACTCCTGGCACTCCTGAAGCTTTGAAGTCTTGTCACCTCAACATCAGGAAATTTTTTTTTCTTGAGAAATTTGAGGCCTTATGATAGTGAGGTGCAGCAATTCAATTAGGCACACCAAGTTTCACAGGCATTAATGGGGTAGTGGTAACCTGGGTCGTTGCCATTAATATTGGGTTCTAAGCTCGACCCGCCGGGGGTTCGATTCCCCCTTAATGCAAAGTCTTTTTTAAAAAAGTTCAGGCAGTTTTTCTGATATCGTATTATGCATCTTCAGGCGCTCAAGTTGAATGGTAATCAGTTGAGGTCATCAGCTTAGGATGGCTGAAGCGTAAGGTTACGAGAGTCTACTTATATGTAATTCAGTTACAAACGACCTTTAACTTTCCAGCTGCTTCTCACAAAGGAAGGAGCAGATGCCGTTTTGAGAACAGTAAGGATATAGAGATTCTGAATCTTAAAGAAAATCGATAGAGAAAATCAAAATCACATTGAGTTTGTCTAGAATATCATGGTGGCGGCATGCTAATCACGCAGCCCAGACTTTTGCAATAAGCTCTGTGAGGCCTATATGGGAGGTGTATCAGTATATGAATGCCATAGACCTTGACCACCTACCAATATCATTCGTGTTGAATTGGTAGACCCCGACCAGCACGCCAACAGTAGCAGCACGAAGAGTCCATGTCGCGATAGGACCAACCACAGGGAACTTGCGCTTGTGCACATAATCAACCAAGCACGCGTCAAACTAAGCACCGTTTATTCAGCAACACAGACAAGATGGACGCGAAGGACGATCGAAAGACGCACCCCGATATGACTATGGATGACGAGCGACATACCAAGGAGACCATCGATGACTGGGTAGTTGGAACCGGTCGTAACATAAGCAGCGACGGTCATAGGCACTAGGCTGGCAGAAAGGAGGCGTTCAAAGGCCCAATGGTAGGACCCGTGAGCACGCGAAGGTGGAGGGAATGTTGTCGGGTCATTGACGGTGCCTTTGTACACCGCTAGAGCAGTAATTAGGAATCAATTGGTTCAAAGTAATAAACACTCACGACCGCCCGGAACGTACACTGCATCGCTGGTCGAGTGTCTGACTGTTGTGCGATTTCTTCAGTCAGCATTCTTGGACTAAGTAGGATTTGACTGGCCTTTAATCACTGCTGAGCGAGCTACTGAACGTTGCACAAGAGCCCTCTGGAGCGTTGAGCGGGCGATGAGGGCAGCGGCCATAGTGAAGGCTGGTGAAGGTGAAGGAAGACCGATTTCCGGATTCGGAGGAGCTCTCCGCGTCCCGCCTGCCCAATCACAAGCCACCGATATTGACCGTGCAGGTGGGAACTGATTTGTCATCAGGTATCTATTTTTTTTCTTCCAATGTTCGACCTAACTGCTCCAGCACCCACCTACCGCTCTACTCAGCTCATATCTGCTTTTTTCGCTGTTCTGGTGCCGACGAGCTCCTCGGTTCATGTATATGTGACGTCTTCAATATTACTATTCCGTCGGGCAACATAACCTCAGCGCTATTTTTCTCTCATGCCAATTTTTATTCTTTCTATCTACACCATGAGCCAGTCAAGGCCCCCAGTCGCCCTCAGCGGATACATACACTAGGGGTCTGTTACGCTCGTGGAAGACCAATCCGGCTTTTCTCTGCCTGCCTCCTTGCCTCGTTTTGAGGTTTGGAGGGCTTACAGTCGGTAGGGCCGTCAAGTTCCTCCAGAGTTGAGCACGATGGATTGCCCGTAGGTGACCGAAGTCGCGCTCGTAGTTTTGGGACAAACATCTTAATTTTCGACGCTGTATCTTAGTAACTTCATTAATCAGTCCTTTACATGTAACTTCTGATCCCATACTGTCAGATCTAGATGTTTGTTGTCTTAACAATGCTTCAAAGCTTCGACACCGAACTCAGCTGTTACCGCTTCCTCTTCTTTTCGTTTCTGATTCTTGGGCTGGCACTCAACTCTATTCGTAGCAACGTATACACTCTTTCAAGTTCTTAAATATGGCTTTCTCGACTATTGGGAAGCTCATAACTGTTGCATATGGTGACAAGTACTGTCGTTGAGACACTTTCTGTCTTGACTGAGGATGCCCTTTTCTAGTGGTATTATTCCTTGTCAATATCCTCGTCCTGGTTTTCGCGGCTCGCGTGAACCAATTTCAGGAATTTTTTTGTGAGCGTCAACCAAGCACTTACGGCGAAGATTGATGACGTTTCTTAGTCATGGCGGACCTCTTCCCTTTTGGTCTCTCTATTGCAACGTTCATCCTTTTATTCGTTGCGTATGTGTATGTATATCTGGGAATTTGGTATGGTCTTATAAACATCCAACAGGATCATGCTCGATTTTACTGTCACAAACTCGTATACTGGGCGTGCGCAATTTGAAGCTGGTCTGTTGGGACTGTTGAGCATCTTTTGGCTGTGTGAGCGTGTTTCGATTGACACGATCTCGGGCGTTTAGCTTATTGATTTGACAGCGTTTAACTCTTTCTCCACCGCACGCTGGCACCAGATCCCATTCCATTGTGACACTATCCCGGATGGTCAGTTCTTGACTTGTGGCCGTATGCAATCTCTCGTCCTCATAGCTACCATTAAGATTTTGCCGATGAACGAGTTTGGTGCAGGGATGTCCAGGCTCTCAAGGGCCTTGTTTGGGTTGAATTCATCATTTGTCTGTACGCCCATCGCGCCAATCGACCCTAGACTGATATGACGCTCTAGGTTTCATAACGTTTCTCATAATTCTTCAATATGCAGTCACCCAGTACAACCACGGGCACAGACACATCTTCAAGATGCCTCTCTCAAGATACCGCCCGGAAGTCGTACATAATAGCAGTGTTAATGATCTGCGCGACAACGAGTTCTTGCAATCTAGGAAGATGATGTAGGATGGATCTCTCCAAGAACTATCTTCGATCCTTCAGGGGGCGGCGGTGCAAGATATAGTCGCGTGCCCTGGTTTCCATACCAAATTTACATGAATATATTTACTTCGAGGTATACCCGGGTTCTCGGTGTGGTTCAATTTTTTCTCTCGTTGTACAGCTGTAGGATACGGTTGGATTCGATTGGCTGTTAGACATGTAACGTCGTTGGTTCGACTTGTGCTGATGGACAGGAAAAACATTGAAAAGAAGGGGAACGAGCGTCCGTGAAGGCGACGCCTCCGTAAGTTTCAAGTTTGTCCATGATTCCCGAAACAATCCTCTGATTACACTTATTGCTTTTCATCGATTGACTGGCCACTTGCAATGTGTTATCTCTCATTCAACACTATTTTTTTGTGGGACAGGACGGCGTTCATATGCTGGACATGTACATCACACCCGACGAGCATGACGATTCGTATGAGGCTGTGGAAACATCTTTTTGCGAGAGCACGAGTGGTGATTTTTCACAAATTCGGAGACAGTCCTCCAAAGTTTCTGAGATACCTCTTAAGGTCCTCCGATGTGTCTGCTCGTGTCATATGTTCTGACGGAGGCCGTAGCCAAAGGGTGGAGGTCGATGCTTGACAAGTCAACACCGGATTTTCAGCCTGAGCAAGTCAGAAAGTGGCGGTTCGCACTTCCCCCGATACTCCCTCCGCCTTGGAGGCTGATGTGGCTCTTTGTAACGGATAGGTGTGACGGCGGAGTGTTTGGCACAGGGGAAGCCGTTTCTGGATCCGTGACCATGGATACCACGTTGATCTAAGGAGAAATAGCCATTCAAGTTCAGTAAGTCGTCAGCGCGTCAGCTACTATCTTTTTAGCTGTCATCTCAATACATTCTATTAGGATCATTAGTAAAAGTTATCTGCGTTCCTCGCATGCATTTAAGTAATAACACCTTTTCTCACTGATCCACTCCCAACACCCGACGACCTCGAATCTTTTTTACTCGAGCAGCGTTTGAATCAATTAAAATATAATGAAGAGGTCTACGGATATAGTTGGACAAGGTGGCTAGTTGAGACACCGGAAAGGCAACACTGGGTTGCAGCAGGCGTGACTCGCGCATTGAGAAGCCTACCGCACTATCAGTCTGGAGACCAATTCCGGGCTGCCTTCAGGTGAAAATTGTGTTCATCTTACTCCTGACAATCTGATAAGTAGTTTTTGTCCGTGTAATGTGTATCACCACAACGCATGTTACCTCAAACTTGGACTGTAATAAATAATTCATTTGAATGAATGGTATACAATGCCAGTCACACGGACGAAATATCCACATAAGATTGAACCCCGAACTATACATGCCCATGATTTCATATATGGTCTTCCTACAAGTAGTACAAACTCGCCGACATTTCATCCAACCACGTTGCCTGCTTGAAATAGGGTCCGCAGATGAAAGGTATAAATGCCTTCCACAGTGTATCATCCGTTCCACACATTTTCCAACTGTCATTCTTCGCGTCATCGCCACATACTCATACCAAATTGGATAAAACCCTGCCCACGCCCAATCAATGATCCAAAGATAACCGTCTTCCCCTACAATGATGTTTTGCAGGTTGAGGTCCTGGTGTGTTGGTACAAGGGGTTCAGAGTCATCAAAATGCTCGTTCCTTGAGGGATCATCCTGGGGTTTCTTTCGCATATTTGCCGTCCTCCTGTGGCGTTCATTGAAGAACGCCGAAAGCTTGGAATATGATGCAAATGGACCACGGTGAGACTGAACCTCACCAAAAATAGGGGATTCGCAGGTTCGCGGTCCTTGAGCGCTTAGGGGATGGCGGCATTGTGACACTTTTCAGGCGACGAAGCTAACGAACGTAGCGACGCAACGTAAAAGCAATGTAGATTTTTCGCCGAATTGAAAGAGCTGGCCAGGCTTGAGCCAGGGTTGGGCCAGGAATATAGCACGAACGACATTTTGACAACGCGGCGGACACGTGGAACAGGGATAGTCGTCTCTGCAAAAACAAAGTCAAGCACGTTTGCTTCTGCTGAATCAACGTCGTCGTCGAAGTCTTGAGCAGGTTTAGCAACGGTGTTGGGAGTCAGTTTCTTGAGAGAGTCTGAGAAAGCGGGTCCGTCTTTGTTGGGTGGGTTGAGCTTGGGAGCATTCCTCCAGAGATTGGCTATCTCCTCATCACTGAGGTGGTCGACATCCGAGGGCTGTAGACGCATGCATTTAGCCTACGTGAGAACGGGCAACCACAGCAAGGTAAGAGAACGGAATGTACTCACAGCGACGCTCCTTTG